GCGAAGGTATGCCGATATATGCGGCCTCGATAAAAACTTGCCGAGTTTTCGGGCAAGTTCGCCCGGGGGTGGCGGGGCCTCGTTTGGGGTAGGTCAACGAGTAGGTGGGAAAAAGGTGGGTTAAGCACGCGCACCCCAGGGTTTAAGTCGAACATTTCGAGCGACAGTTCGGACCCCCTGGGTCGATACGTCGAATCGGGGGACCCGGTCCCCCCTCGGGGGCGGACCTGCCCCCGAAGAGGCCTCGCCCCGGGAAAGTGGCGGAAGTGCGGCGAGCCCAGGAAGCTCGGGGGCCGACATTAGCGTGGAAAAACTCGGGGCTCTAATTACAATACCGCAGGGCCTTCTGCCGCGAAGTTTAAGCGGCAACGAGCCCCGTACGTGCGAGGCCGCCCCCAACCGAGTCGATGTAATTTGCAATTCAAACGAGGGATTTCGCATCGCGCTCTCCTGCCCCGTTCCGGCCTGGCAATCACCAGAAATGTGGAATTGCCTTAATAAGTTATGACTATACTAATGGTCGAATTGGCCGAGAGGGGGGTAGTTTTGCGCGAAAGTGCCAATTACCAGTTCAGACGGACCCCCCCGTCGATGCCTTCTTGCTGACCATTTAAATGCCCACGCGCCTTCGACGGCCCACGTGGCGCGACTCGTGGGGCGGGAGTATTAAACGCTGCCGGACGGGAATTCAAGCCCGAGACAAAAGTCCTCGCGACTTTTCCGCGGAATTCTATTTTTACAGGATTTCCCGGGGACTTTTTCGCTTCCTCTTTGTTTTACCCCTTCCCCGCCGCGGCGAATTTTACACTCCGCGACTAACGGCCAACGACACCGCCGCGTTCTCCTCTCCCTCTGAATTTCGGACGCGATGATTATCCGCCGCACGGTGGACTCGACTAAACGGAACCGCAAAGCGACGGAGAAAAATGGAGAAAAATCGAGGCGGCTCATCTTTAAATTTCCGTCGCGTATGGAGGATTTGGAAACACGTGGAAACCGATTTCTCGTTAAGGCCCGCGCGCAAAGGAGAAGGGACCAATTCGATTTTCGTCGCGGCGTTTTATCCCCGGTGACGTCATAATACCACCGAAGATAACTCGATGGGTCCATTAGTGTGACGGTGCATGGCGCGATCGATACTTTGGCCTAATGGCGCTGTCACCACTTTTTTGTCCCTCCCGGCATTTGGGAACCCTGGTTTGGCTCTGTCGAAATTCCCGCGCCAACCTCGACACATTCTCTCTTCGTGGCGACGCCGCTTCGCTCTTCGTGGCGACGCCACTTCGCTCTTCGTGACGACGCCACTTCGCTCTCTTCGCGGTAACGCCATGTCTACTTTCTCCCGCGAACGGCTCTAACGTCCACCGTATCCTAAAATCGTTTCCATCCCCCTTAAAAATATCGAAATAAAATCTCGCCACTTCTTGGCGGCCTCGGCAAAGACTCGAAATTTCGCCCGGGCAATGTCCATTCATTACTGCCGCGTGTACTTGATATTGCGTCCCCGTGCACGAGGACCATTATTCTTCGCGGCGCGGCGTGCACCGAATTCGAGATCTCTCGCGTCCGACTATTAGGAGCGACGAGCAGGTGTTACACGGCAATAACCGATAGGCGTCGGCGTCGAAAACGGCTAATGCGTCGCATTAATTAAACAAATTGACCGCACGGCAAAAGGAGCGACCGAGGGCGAAACAGGGATACGAAGGAGGGGACCGATCGCCCCCGTAGGGGCGCGAAAGGGCGGCCCTTCCCGAATTTGTTTATTGGCCGACAAACGGAAACGGTTTATAATGCCCGATCAATACTTTCGCCGAGCTGACTCGCCGAGAGATCGATAAGCGGCGACCTGCGTGGTTCCTCGATGTTTCTGCCCTTTGCATAAGACCCGAACCCCGATGGGACGGACTTCGGGATTCACCCGCGGGGGTTGCGTTTATTTTCCGCCGTTTCCCGGGCGGCCTCCACCCCCGGAACCGCGGGCGTCCGATAATTCCCTCCATCCTGAGAATAAAAGGCCATCCTAGAAAGAGCTCAAAATCCGACCCTTGTGCTTAGCCTCTGCCCGGAGACGCGGGAAGAATCCATATTCCCTGGAAATTTTCTCTGAGGCTCGAAGGACGGAAAAAAAATTAAAGTCCACCCCTACTTCGGTAACTCGAAGGGTTAATATTTTTCTCTTTTTTCCCCCCTTTTTTTTCGATTTATATCAGGGTTTGTTGATAATTCATGATAAGAATTATTTCCTCCGGGTTGGATTTTATTTATCAAGTCACTCGAGGCTTTTATCGGTCCACCTTGGGCGTTGGACCACCCTCCGTATTAAGTTTTCGCCATCGATATCACGCCGGATGTCCTCTCTTCTGGCCACCCTTGATAAGGGGGCTTCTGGCCAGGCAGGATCGTTTCTCAAACGAGCTCGTCCACGACGACGAAGAGCTCGGCTCCCCGAAATAAACGCGCGGTGGAGAGGGCGCTTTAAACATTCACGCCTTCCGTCCATTTGTATCCCGGCAAGGGTCGGGATATTTCCCGAGGCAAGAATGGCGTGACCTTTAACCGGGGGGTAATTGACAAACGGCCGGTAGACTGACGATAATGCGCCCAACCCGTGTCGTACACGTATCTTAGTCACGAGAGTAAACCGCCGACACTTCCGGAGATAATTCTTGCACCTAGAGAGGGTTAGGCCAGGGTGAGGAGGGAAGCTCGCTCAGGAGTGCTCGAGGAATTTGGCTCGACTGATTAGGCGCACCGGGGGTCTTAAAAAGTCCCCGACCTGCCCCACGGTGATAAGGGGATCCCCCTGGTAGGTAATAAGAATTTTATCACCGACGCTCCCCGGGAAAATAATTCCTCGACTCGAATTTCCGCGATCTCGCGACTCGACTCGACTAGAGGGAAATTCTCGTCCATTCGGCGTGATTAATTGCAAAAATTTGGATTTTGAATCCGATCCAGAAAGGGGGACGAGAGGGGGCAAAGCGGAGGCACGCTGCCAGCGTAATGGCACGTTTCCTTAGGAAACTCTACTTCTTCAAAAGAGACTCTAATGCCGAGCTTCGGCTCGCCGTCGATGCAGAAATGATAGTCCGATTTGCCTTTCGAATAACGGCGGAGCGTTCTGTAATTTCACCTACCGTGAAATCTTCTTTCATTGCAATATCCGACTCCAATTTGTCCACGACTTCCGTACACGCGAGTCGGATCGGTACCGGCGAACGCGTACCCTGGGGGATTTTTTTTCCCCCCAGAAAAGGGTCCTTTTCAAAGTTTAATTATAATTCAATCGTTCCCCGGGGACGGAGGGGATTTTTCAGAAAGGTCCTCCGACCCTAAAAATCCGTCTCTTGGTGCCCGGGCCCAGCGCAAACGCACAAACGCGATCGACCGGCTCCGTCGCGAAAACGCGCCGCAATTCGGCTATGAAAGGCGGAAGTTGCCCCGCAAAGCCAATTACCCACGGTCCTTGGCCGAAAAAAATTATCCGGGATAAAGCGGACCCTTTCTCCCCGGGGAAAAAAACCTGAGTTTTCCCGGGCTTCGGTACCAATTTAACGATACGTCCCCTTTGGGGAAGTGCGTCCACCCGGGGTGGCGGAGAGAAAGAGAGAAAGCGAGGGGACCGATCACCGGATAGACGAGGACAGAGCCAGATCGACTAATTTCCGCCTTCCTCGCGCATTCCCATAAAACGGCTATTCCCCTAGGAAGCCGTGGGGCCATCAGGGGGTTCCGTGTCCAAAACAAAGGCCAACTACCCTGTGATCCTTCGTGAAAAAAATCATCCCCCCCAAAAAATATAAAAATAGAAATGGACGAGAATGGCCACGAATCGACCCATTTCCCGTGCACCCCATAAGTTGGCCAAGAAGTACGGGGTCCAGAAAGTCAAAAGAAGACTGAAAATCATCGAGACAAAACGGGGGTGTCATTTTCCAGGGAAAATCCTTTAGTTTTTTCGGACTTCGTGCCGCGTTAACGATTCACCCCCTTCGGGGAGAGAGGGGCGCGAAGGGTCTGCGTCTTTCCAGTGGCGGAGGGAAAGAGAGAGAGCGAGCCGCCCCGTCGCGGGGTAGAGGAGGACAGAGACGGATCGACCCATTTCTGACTTCACCCCGAGCGGTCGATCCCTTGGAAGCTCCGGGTCGCGGGGGTGCTCCGTGTCCAAAACAAAAGCTCGTTCACGTCGGGTGCGTGCTTTCGCTCCCCGGCCGGATCCGGCTCATCCCCGTGCAAATCAGTCGGAAAAGCCTGGGGGAATCGAACCGGAGGGAAGAGTTAATGCTAATGCCCCCGCCCCTCTTTCCCTAGGATGGCACTCTTTGTGTCACTCTACGAGTCCATTCGTCGAATCCCGATAAACAGCGAGGTGGGTCCGATCGATCGGGTTCGATATCCCCCACCCTGGCCCGCCGAAGACGGCCGAGCCTCCTCGGAATTATCCGCGGCGTTCGACGCCGATTGGCTTCAATTCAGCCGATCGAACGTATCGGTTACGCCTCGTAGCCTTAATTATCTTGTTTTCAGCGGGCCCTCGAGCGGCCACTTGCCGAGCTACGGGGAACTGGGTCAATAATTGCCACAATAATTAGGGAAGTCGCGTGGACCCTCGAGGTGCAAGTCGAGAGGCCGCCAGCGACGTTCGATGCCTGAATGCCTCCTGCTACGAAATCCGGGATAATTGGCGAATGATCGAGCCAATTGGGGTAAAAACTACCCCGATTTGTGCCTATTAATAGTTGCGGGGAAATTAGGATAAGTCGTTTCCAGCATCCTGAGGTATCTCGTCCCAGGAATTGCCCTGGATTGGGACGAGGCTCCTGGAGATCGTCAAGGGTCGCCTTCCTGGTCGGAATCGCATCCACCAGGGTTCCTTGGGGAGGGATCCCAAAAGAGCGGGACCACGTGGCTTTACTCCTGGATTCGGTACACCTCGACCTCGCGAGATACCCCATGGTGCTCCTACGAGGGAAGAGGACCCTGTAGGTGGCACTCACCTTGGCGAAGTCGATCTTCAGGGTGCAGCAGCCGGAATAAATGTCCGCCCCGTGCAGGGTCTCCTTCGCCCGAGTCGCCGATTCCACCGAGTCGAACGTGGAGTCGGGAACGACGCAGTTAAGGATAAACGTTGCACAGTTTCGCCGGGAAATCGCGGGGCAGTTATCCCGAGAGACAATGGGCGAGAAAATCTCCACTGCCCCCGATAAGGCGCGAAATCGAGTAGCGGAAGAAAAAAAAAAAAATACGCGTCGCTAGACCCGCCCGTGAACGAGGTACCGAAAATTTCGACACTCGTTCACACGATTTTTCTACCCTCGTTTAAATTTTCATACAAAAGAAAAAAAAAAGTAATAAAACGAGATTGAAAGAAAAATTGACCTCTGCTCGAATTTGGAATATTTTTCCTCGCTTTTCTATTTTTTTTTTTTTTCTATTTTTTTAGGAAGGAGCAAAAAGACCGGTCCCCTCGACGACCTTTAAGTAGAAATAACTAGCGCCGCGAGTACACATATATGGACCGAGCAATCCCCCTTGAGGTCGCGATTCCGGACACGTACTTAATGCGATTCTAACACCCCCGAGTGGGGGGCGGAAATGGCATCAACCCTCGAAGCAATAGCAAAGGATATTCGACCATAGCCTGGACGCCGTTCTTCTTGAATATGACGATGCGCTGAACCTGGCCGCTGGGTGCACTGATAGTGTGCAGCACTTCCTGGAACAGATAAGAAGGGTCTGTTAACAGGGGTTGGACCACCCGATAGGAGCCAGGGGGCCATTAGTGCTCTGGTATAACGGGGTCAGAGGGGGAGAGAAACGGGAACTTTCCCTCTTGAGAAAATTCGACCGCGTGTTATTGGGCGATAAGCATCCCTCCCCGTGATAACGCGATCCGCGATCAGCCGTAGGTCTACCTGCAGCCAAAATGCCGAAGTGGCTTTTCTTTTTCATCCGAGCGATGACACGGCGTGGCAGCCGGCCAGGCTCACTTTTAGGATGAGATGCACATAGGTGCATCTAGGTGCACATGGGCACATGGGTACATGTCCCGGAGTGCAATCCAGACCGGCGGTCGACTCCTTCGGGACCCGGCAAATCTCGGACGGGAAAGAATATCGGGGAGGGTCCCGGGGGTGGAAAAGTTTCCGGAAAAGGGCGAAACGGGATTCCGGCACGCGGCGAGGTAAGCGCGCCAGATCGAGCGAGTGCACCGCGGTGCAAGTGCATCGGGCCAAGTACTATTTAGCTCCTCGCTGCTCTCAGGGTGGACAATGACGAGACCCCGAGCCCGAATGGAGGCTTTTTGTCATCCTGCACCTCACCCCTGTCCACCCAAGGACCTCGCTCCCAGCTGCACCCGATGCACTTCCCCCGCCATGCACTTCTACCAGGGCTGATCGCTTGGGAGACGAAGGTAAAAATTAAAATCGCCTTATAATTTATTATTAAGCGGTAATCTCCAATCATTGGTCGTTATCACTTATACCTGGACTCACCCAATTCGGGTCCTTAATCCTTCTCATTCGACCACATACGGATCAAAGAAAAAGGATCCGGGATTCCGGTACGGAACATTTCCGTTTGCTTTATGTGTTGCGTTTGCTCGAGGTGGTGGATCGAGGATCTTCCCTCTCCGGGCGTTTAGGAAACGCGAGAGAGCGGCACGGCCGAGCAAACCGCTCGCGAAGAGCTCCCTTTTATCCTATTACCTTGCATACAAATAGAGAGGAGAAACGAACGAGTACCCGCCCGGCCGCGCTGAATCTCTTTAGTGTTTGAGGTACATACATCGCGCCCACCCCGTTCCAGCTGGAGTCCCGAGTCTTGGCGTTGACTGCTTCGGAACTCGGGGGAAAAGTTACCGTCCGCAGATAGCGAAACGGCGGGGTCCAGAATTTCCTTCGTTATGCCCGGGACGTGGGGGAAATACGGGAGCGAAACGCCCGAGAAACGCGCGAGAAACGCTAGAAAACCGCTCCCCACCTCCGACTCGTTACGGGGCGAAAACGCGAAATTAGCGCGGAGGGAATAGAAAATAAATTAAGGGAAACACGATGTCATAAATGAAAATTCATTTCCCACGAAACCTCGCCCTTCGCTCTGGCGGAAATAATTAATTGGCGATTTTCAGTGGATTCTTACGACCGAATGGAAGGGAAAAAAAAAAAAGAAAAACAGTGGCCGATATCCCGCGAAATGCCGGGCGAAATATATTTCATATTTCTCCTCGTTACGTAAGTCGGCATTTGCAATTTTATAGGCCGCGGCCCCCCCCCCCCCTCGGATATATGAATTTCGAAACAAAGCTCGAAGTTATGGCGCCGTTCCGCGAATCCATCGAGACGTCGCGCAAAAGTGGGATATCCCGGCCTAGGGACTTCGAAACTGAGGCAAATATTCGGCGGGAAGTATCGCGCGTCCGCGTCCGCGGAAAGTTCGCCCACTCGTGGCCGCGTATATAGGAGAGAATCGGGGAAACTTGGGAGTTTCCGGCGGCAATAATTCAGACGGCCCGGGGACGCGAAAGCAGGAAACGGATAAACGTTTGCCAAGCGCTTCCCTCTATCTCATTACGAATGCACCCGGGGTGGAATTAAATAAAGGAGTAATAAAAAGGTAGGAGCTCTTCCTTTGTCGGGGAGGCCCTTTGAAACCGCGGGATCATTTTTCCGCACCTCTTAACAATCGGCGGGATTGCGCCCCCGAAGAAATAATCAGCGACCCTTCTCGCTCGATAATTGCGATAATTCCGTTTCCCTGGAACATCCAAGCGAAGAGGTAACGAGCATCGTCGAGGCGCCTCCCCCATTTCCAGAATTTCTTTAATCACCCAATTTGACACGATCGCCCGAAAAAACACCCCAGTGATAAAGGGATGGTAACTGGTTCATACCTAACCTAAAAAAAAAACAGGGGGGGGGGGAACATTGAAAGGGCCCATTTAAGCCAATTCCCTCTTCCCTGCTCCCTCCTTCTTTCTCCTCATCCCATCCTCGTAAAGGCTCGGGGGTGGAGTCGCCCCCTTATCGGCAGAATGCACCGCCTGATACGCAGCGATATATGTATAGAGGGGTGCCGATAACGTCTCCGGGGGGCGAATCCGAGGGATTAATGGACCGGGGACGATCTTCGCGCGGATCTCGCATCGACTGCAAGACGAAGCGGCTTTTCGGGCTGCGCGATAGAACGAACTCTGACGCGTACTAATGAACGGGGCGAAAAAAGGAAGGCCACCCCGAACCGAGACCGGCTCGGTACGAGAGACTCGAGACTCATTAATACTCGCACGCAACCCCCGTTCTATTATTAAGCGCCGAGTCGGTGCCTCCTGGCGCGATCTCGCCGATCCCTCTGGGGGTGCAGGGGGTGCAGAGGGGAAATGGCCAAGACGGCCCTAACGTCGGCCAGGAGCGTTTTAAAGACTTTGGAGCAGCTACCAGGTATTTCCCTCGGGGTACCTGGGACTCGTGTGCGAGGAAGGGCGACGCACCCCTGACGCACCTTTGACGCGCTAAGAGCGAGGGTGGACGCGCTGATAAGGGTAGAGCGTTGGTACAGAGTGGTAAAAATTGATAGAAACTGATAGGATACGTGGAAATTTCAATTTCAATTCGGGTACACATGAGTTTATAATGAATTTTGTGCGGCACCGAGATGGGGTACCTATGGCAAAGGTGTCGCAGGTGAGGTGGAAATTCTTCGTTTCGAGGATCCGGGGGTAGATTGTTGTTTAGGATCGACGAGAGGGAAATTCATATTTCAGGCGTTAATCGTCGCCGGCGAATCCCTGGGTGCATATCCGGCTGCACTTTGATTCTAACGATGCCGGATATATATTAGATGGCCTTCCCGCCATGTATAAGGGTGACGAAACGAACCGGAGGAGGTTGGCTAAATCCTGCAAGAGGGTAGGTTTGACCCGCGACACGCTCGATAGAATTTTAGCGACCGCGAATCCAAGAAGCCCCCTGAATGTTTTATGCACCCAAAGTGCATCCATCCCGGGCGCTTCCGTGCACGGACGTCGGGCCTCGTCGCGACGCACGAGCGTCGTCGTCGTCGCCTCGTCGCGACGTCGGGCGAAACGTCGGCAAAAGTGGCGGAAAAACGAACCGGGCGAAGCTCGAAAGACGGATAAGCGGATGAAGCGAGCTCTCGAAATTTCACGAAAATTATGCATGTCCCTCTCGGGGATGCACCGCCCTCCCCGGTGCATTTTGAAAACTCATCCCCCCGGCTTAGTGCCGGCATATATAAATCCACGAGGTGATATACGGGGACTAACTACTCCGTGGAATAAAAGGGAGTCACTAATCGCGTTGTTCTCTGCATTTAATCACGCCCCGCAACTCGACTCCGGATTTACGTAAAGTGCACTAAATCTCGACGTTTATTTTTTCCCCCTCTGACGTCAGGGCAGAGATTACGGCCGAATCGCGTCACGTCCGTTCCGACCCTCTCCTCGTTTTCAGGAAGTGCCTTTTTGCGAGTCTTTTTCTGGAACTGCCTAAACGGGGCCAAGGGAAGGGCCGAGTTTCCCATCAGCTGATCGACGTTTCGGAGGATTTCGGGGCTCCGACTAACGACCGCGAAAAAAACACTCTCTCGTTTGTCGTCGACCTAACCGTACCTACGCGTGCACCTCCGTGATTCTGCATTTCTGCCGTTAAGGATGCACCATCGCGTTCGCCGACGTCGTAACGCCCGCGTTAAGGCACGTCCTGTAATTACCAGCCTGGTCACGTAATCTTTAGCGCGAAAACTACATAATCACTATGAGCTCTGCGCATCCGCCGAGGCCACTCCTTGGAGTTGCATTCCGAACCCCGCGTTAAAAAAAAAATAAAAAAGAAAAAAAAAAGGAAGAAAAGAGAAACTTAACAAGTACCAATAATACCGAAATGCAAAAAATACTTCCTCCGCCTCTCGCTGATATTTGTCCATATTTAATAAGTATTTTATGGATCACGTTCCTCCCACATCGATTTTCCCTCCACCTATCTCTTCCTTCATCTCGCCTATTTATTCGTCCATATCTCTATTTACCTTGAATATGAGAAAAAGTAAAAAATGTCCTATCGACTCTGCACTCGATAAAAATCCCTCGTTAAAATCGACATCCCTTTTGTTGGACCGCGAAATGGCAACGAAAAATGGCGAGGTCGCTCAAGGCGGCACATCCTCTCCGTTTCTTTTTTTTTCCCGCTTCCGAAATACGTCGGCCGCTTCCGGGCCTGACCTGCCTCAAGCTCGTATCAGCTCCAGCTGCTGCTCGGCGAGAGATCTAACTTTAGAGCGTCTGCGTTATAGGCCCCCGAAACCCGTCTTCCTCGAGAGCACTGGCAGCCACACCCGCGAGCTCCATTCAATATCCACACCCGAGAGGTGCGAAATCCCGACCTTATCGCCTCTAGCCGAGACCTTCCCCTTCTCGCGATACCACGAGGCCCGAAGCCCGGGAGATCCGGCTTTTGGACGGATGTCAACTATTTTAACGCGATCGCCGGGCTCGAGGCGTGTAATAAGTTCCCTCCGGGTTTACGGGCCACCTCCGCCCGGTAAATAACCAGCCCGCCATTTTTACGTGCAATTAAACCTCCATTACGTACTTCGATTACCTGGAACGGGGGCGCACTTTATCGCGGGACTATATTTTGGGCCCGAGTTACCGTCGCCCCAGTAAAGTGATTTATGAACCGCCGGAGACGCGATGGA